ATATATATATATATATATATATATATATATAGATAGATAGATATATAGAGAGAGAGAGATATAGATATATAGATATAGATATAGATATATAGATAGATAGATATATATAACAATTTTTAAAAAGTAACAGGACATACCTGTTCGGTGTTTGAGATCATCTGAAAAAAAAATGAAAAAAATAAGACTTACGTTAAACGCATCAACAGACAATAGACCACATAATAGAGATATGCCTTACTGAAATTAATGGGGCACACCTCAGTTTATTTGGCGTTTCTATTTGAAGCTGCACACCCTCAAATCTAGCGACCGTCTCTGCCGGGGAAAAAATCGGAAAGAAAATAACAGTGCATGGGACGAAAGGATTATCTCTTATGTACAGAACCAACAGAGTTTGGTTTTTCCAACCTTTTTAGTGTTGGTAGAATTAATGTTTTTTTAACAGAAAATATTTTTGCTCCAAAGTCCACACAATAGGAAATTAACCCTTTCGTTTTCTTTACCACGTGCTCCCACGGATTAAAAGGTCTTTGTTAGTCTGAGAGTAAACAGAAAATATTCAATCGGAAAAACGACAAACTGGACACACATTAAAGATTCGACCGTGATCGAGTACATGAGTTCAAAATGCAGCTAAAACGAAGTTAAAGAAGCATGCCCAGGTTGTTCAGGCAACGTCCAACACGAATCTAGAAAGGCAAATTGTAGAAGGATACATTTCATCGTGATCATGAACTTACTTGCGTCACAGTTTTTCCATTCGCCCCGGTAGATTGCAGTTGTAGAACACCAGGGACGACCAGTGTTGTCGACGGTGGTACAGGAACTGTAAATTATTCCTTTGTACGTAAATGGAAAATTGCACTCTGAAAAATAAGTAATTGGGTAAAAAGCATGCGGAGGGCAACTGTTAATCGATCCGTTCCTGTAGCTAAACTATACCAACATGTCAACACTTTGCCCGAGTCAATAATAATTCTTTATATTTCATATTTTATATTTCAAGGACAACAGACCACATAAGACCTCATAGGAAGTTCAAGGAAACTAACCGTATATGGGACGAAAGGATAGCCCCCAAACCTAACTCATAGTACCCCAAAGTTGTTGTTCTGTTTGAATTTTACTACTACACCATTCTCTGAAAATGTTGTGACCCTACGATAAGTGGTTGTTGAGTTACAGGGGGCGGGCTTCGAAAATCCCGGTCTCAGCATGGGCAAAAATGCCCGGTCTGAATAGGGTTACATTGGCTTCTTGAAAATCTCATGTTGTATTTATGAAAATCAGTGTTTTTTTTCTAAAGCCATTTGCAGCTATTTTGATTTCCTTTAATTTTTTCTAGTTAGTTACTTTCTTTCAGTGATAGCAACATTGTATCACATAACTTTATATATTTAATGGTACATGGTAAATGTTCAATGATTTTGAAGATAATGTGAACAGTATATGAATATTATTCTATTTTAGTTGCATTTTGTTCCCAAATGATACACATACTATTTCATACTTATTATGTTAAACTTAACTAATTGTGTTGCTAAGTCATTCAGTCTCATGCTTATCGTTACTTTGTAGTTATTATATATAATAAGCTAACATTAATTAATCTATACTTACTTTTGTGGCTGGGAGGGTTGGTACTTCCATCGATGGTCCGAGTAATGGGTGTGTTGGTACTAATGAGAGCTAAAAGTATAGGTGTGTTTGTCGGTACTGGTGCATGCCATGTGCTCAAGCTGTTGACTTCTGGCATAGGAGAAGCCTGGAAGAAGAAGAATGAAATATAAATGCAAACTTTAAGGCAGACATGTGCTTGGCAGCAAATTCATCATATTTCAATTCATATCCTTCTTCATTCCAAAATGAACTGTTTCATATCAACCATTTCCATATGTGGTGCTCTTCATATGATGTTGTCGTGTATTCCCCAATACACATATAAAGTATTCTCGAAACCCCCATACAGTGCTTTTCAGTATAAGGTCCAACCCCCATGTAGCGCTCAATACTCCCATACAGTGATTTAGATTAAAAGTGTTCACGAAATCCCCAAACAAGATTAAGGATATTCCGTTATTAATACAAATTGCCGCACTTTTGACAGGATCCACCCCACTCCGTATCTGCTTGAAGATTGCCTGCCCACACTACTCTGTATCTGCTTGTAGATTGCAGAAGTCAGGTCATTTGGCCCCATACGGTCTCGAACCGGAGTTTTTTTTCACGATTTTGGATCCGGCGGACACCCTCAGACCGAAGGGCTACAACTCCGCCAAGAAAGTACGCCGGGAAATCTCATTATATCAGTCAACGGAGGTTTCCAGCCGGCTTTCGATAGAATTTTGGTTATTTTCTGTTGTCTATTGACCTGCCTGAAAAAAAAAACGAATTTTCCCAGGCTGGAAAAAAAAACGAATTTTCCCAGGCTAACGGCTTGTATGCTGAAATAGCTTACTGATTCCTGTTTCTGAAAAACGGAAAAAAATATAGGTTATTGCGATAATTTTTTTCGCAAAATCCGATGGTGCGACTACCTTGAAATTCCACATAGAACGCATTTTGCTATTTGGGTAATCATTCGACAAACCGCATCACCCTTGCTCGCGGACTAATACAAAAACGCTATAATATATTATATATGATATATTTATTAATATTTTTTTCTGTCCATACCATACTGTTAGGTATTAAATGGACTGAAATACAAGCATGCTGTATTTGCTCCGGAGCAAATGCCGGCCTTTCTAGTGTTGTATACATGTACGTTCATAATTTTAAAGTGAGAATGCCAGACTGTCATATATAAGTTCCAAAGAAAGGCAAGATCACTACTAACATTCTATCTCAATTTGTGTTGTACGTCCAATGTTTTTTTCTATGCTTACACATTTTAGGTTAGGTACACCATTGCACTTTCTTCCAAGTATGAATTTCCAGCCCAGCTGCTTTTGGAGTACGATTCCTGATGGGAGTATTACATAAATAGAAATAATATCATATAAAACGTAAGGTGTAAAATAGAGCCCATTGCAAATATGTACACCTTACCTCCTGAATGTCTCGGGTGTTGTGATAGACTCCTGCCATGATTCCGTAGGTGATCCCACCAGTTAATACCAGGATAACCACCAACGTAGCAAGCCAGTATTTTCTATTCTCTGCAAAACAGTGTGCTTAAATTGTTTTTGTAGTCTAATAGAAAACAGACATATTTATAATAGATGAAAGAATAAACTAGTAACTATATAAAGAAACAGACAAGTATGGTAATTTATGTAATTGAAAAAGGGCCGAACCTCTAGAAACGTAATTAACATTGGTAAAGCAATTCATACACGGAATCATTTGGGAAAAATTGACCCTTGGTAATTTTTGTTAATTGTCTAGAAAACCCCTGTTTCTTTTGTTTCGGCCCGTAACCCTTGACACGATCACGTGATACGCCATTCGACTTGACGGTACGCGGGTGCCGGTCTTGCTTTTGTTTGTCTCTTCATCTGGTGTTTTTTTTGCGAATATAGAGTCTGATCGTGAGAAGAAGAAGAAGAGACGATGTTCTGTGTGTCGGCTACCAGTGAAAGGACACCCGGGACCATACGGCCGCGGCAGGTGCACTTTTGAGCGACCAGAAGGAACCTCAGATGAAGACTTTTTCGGACGACAGCGGGGTAGTGCTAACGTTCAGGAGAAGATCAGAGGCCTTCGGCGGCACAGTAAAGTTCCGGAGCTAGTGCGTAAGGCCTGGTCGGACAGCCTCTCGGAAGACGCGGAAGAGGAGGTGAGGTTGGCTAGATCATACAACCTAAAGAAATCGTCGGATTACGGCGGAGAGAAAGCCAGCGTTCGAGCAAGAAGTGAATCCCCTCCCCAGGTTTCTCGCCAAAACGCACGTGATCGGAGCAGGGAGTATGCACAAGTGAAAGACCAGCCTGACATACGAGACCTGAGAGAATCTAGGAAATTGGTCAAAGAGGTGGACAAGGCTTTGGACGACTTGTTAAATCCAGTTACAAGCCAGGAGAGGAGGATCAGCGACAAACGCCTTGACGAGAGCGACTTTGATTCAACTTCAACATCATCACAGACTGAATCGGGGCGGTCGTCCGACACAGAGGAGTCTAGCCTGACTAAATCGCGCTCCTGGCGGCCGCCGCCCTAGGTTGCCGCCCCCAAAAGGGGTGGGGGTCATTAACCTCCGGCCGAGAGCTTGTATACACAGGCTAAGAGGAGTCAGCTTACACAAGAAAACCAGAGGCGCCGGCGTCGCAGGGGGTCGCGTAAGAAGAAAACCGAGGCTAGGGATCCGCCCCAAACGCTGTCATCCGACACAACCGAGTCAGAGTTGGGTTTCGTGAGAAAACCAGACAAGCGCAAGCGTCGCAGGGGGTCGCGTAAGAAGAGGAGCGCTACTAGGGTCGGCGGCAGGAAGAAAGAGAAAGGCAAACGCTCCCGGCGCAACTATGACTCAGACACATCTTCGTACGACTCCCGCTCACGTTCTAGGAGGCGACGTCGTGCAGGTAAGAGCGGTCGTAACCGTACTATCAATGATTCGGGTACACGTCGGGTCAAAGTTGATTGGCCACAACATCGGGTGCATTTCCCGGGATATGGTAAAGAAGGGGGCGTGACTTATGACGAGTTATCCCTACCCATGCTTGTGCACGGCTATGTTAAGAATGTTCTCGATCGTGATCGTGTATCTACCATCCTCCTTCGCAGGGCTAAAATCCTCCGGTTCCCTTCCGGAAGGGAACCGGAGGATTTTAGCCCTGCGAAGGAGGATGGTATCTACGGACGCAGAGCATAAGTTGGTTCACCTAGCAGATCTTATGTTCGATGCTGTCTACTATGATTGGGTTGCAGTACGGGAAGTTCACGCATCTTTACTGTATGGGATGGAATACGGATCGCTCGCATGGGGGAACCGCGGTGCCTTTGATGCTATCAGTGAAAGACACTACCGAACACAGGCTAGGGTTGCTCGGGGCAACGTGGGCAACGCGCCGAGGGCGGGGCTTGTGAAAGAGGCTCGAGTGTCGGCAAGCAGACCTCGCTACTGTGACGAGTTCCAGACCGGGTCCTGTTCTCTACCCTCCGGGCATTGGAGCACACGATGGAACGCCCCACTGCTACACGTCTGTAGTGCGTGTTTGATAGTTCGGGAGATTCAGGCACCGCACCCGAGTCAAGAGTGCCAGCACAAACGCCGGGGCCCGGCAGACAGAGCAAATCGCAGCTTCGGTAACTCCGCCCACTTCTCCCAGGGACCCGGCCCCGCACGTGGCGGCACACAAGGCGATCAGGCTACATGAAGAGGTATCGGCATTTCATGTTCCTAACTATATTGGCGCTCGTAGACCGGTGGACTCAAATCTGAATATACATACCTGGAGAAAGTTACTCAAAGATTACGAGCACAAGCATATAGTGGATTATTTGGATTTTGGTTGGCCCATCAACGTTCAGGAAGAACTCTATAGTCCGCCTGCAGTTTTTCCTAAGAATCATAGGTCTGCTACAACGTATTCTTCACATGTTGATCACCGAAGAGCGTCGCCTAGGTGCCATAGTGGGACCTTTCGTTACAAACCGCCCCAAACGCTGTCATCCGACACAACCGAGTCAGAGTTGGGTTCGTGAGAAAACCAGACAAGCGCAAGCGTCGCAGGGGGTCGCGTAAGAAGAGGAGCGCTACTAGGGTCGGCGGCAGGAAGAAAGAGAAAGGCAAACGCTCCCGGCGCAACTATGACTCAGACACATCTTCGTACGACTCCCGCTCACGTTCTAGGAGGCGACGTCGTGCAGGTAGGAGCGGTCGTAACCGTACTATCAATGATTCGGGTACACGTCGGGTCAAAG